TCTTTCTTTGTGGCTCTATGGTTTCTAACACTTTTCAATAACTTGGAAGATTAAGTTACATCATCTCACATCATTCCAGGACCGCTTAAATGACTATTCTGGCATTACTCAAAAAGATTTACCTGTGATGTAATAAGAGACTTGTCTGTTGGCTTCTTCTGTATCGGCATCAGTTGTACTCAGGATAGCAATTACGCCCCCAGGAGGGTCATCCTCACTGACTGTTCCTTTATATATCTCTGCAGTAAAGCGTGGAGGATTGTCATTAACATCCGTAACAGTAACTTCAACCACAGCCATAGAAGACAGTTGAATTTTTTCACCACGATCAGATGCAACCACTGTGATTCTGTATTTGTCTCGTTTCTCATGATCGAGTTCTTTGAGGGTGGTAATCCAGCCAGTTTCCATGTTGATGGCAAAAGACTCTATAGTGTCTAGCTCTTGAGAAGGATCCAAGCCGTAAGTAACCTGCCCATTAAGTCCTGAATCTAAGTCAGTTCCTTTAACCTGGATGACTCTTGTTCCAGCCGGCATGTTTTCTACGATGAACGCTTCGTATGGATTGGACTCCAAAACTGGCTTGTTATCATTTGCATCTTTTACCTGAATGCTTACCTCTACTGAAGAAACAACATTATAACCTTCATTTGCGTACTGTGCTCTAACTGAGAACTGGTACCATTTAGTGGTTTCATGATCAAGATTCTTCTCAAGTTTCAACTCTCCAGTCTGTCGGTCAATCACAAAAAATTCATCTCTATTGCTTTCAGGAGTGTTCCCTTTAATCAGACTATATACTAAAGTCTGATTATGCTCTGCTTTGACAACATCTATATCAGTCCCAATTGGAATGTCCTCAGAAACTGTGTAAGAATAAAAAGGCTCTGAAAATTTTGGAAGAGGTACTTCTGGTGGGAGTATTCTAGCATAGACAGGAACAACTGACTCTTTTTTGGGAGATCCACCATCGACTGCTCTAACAAAGAAAGTCAGAAACTCATTTTCTAAACCAATTAAGCTTTCTTTTGTAGTAATTATACCAGACAATGAATCAATTTCTAAATTCTCTTTAACGTTTTCAGACTCTGCTTCAATAGCATATATGATGTCTGCATTTGTACCCTCATCAGCATCAGATGCCCAGACTTTAATGACAGAAGTACCCCGCGGAACATCAGATCCAATATTGACTTCGTACTCTGTTGCTCGGAACTGAGGAGCATTATCATTGTCATCTGTAAGTATTACATTAACAGTACAGAAAGCAACTTTTCCTCCTGAATCTTTGGCCATTAGACTAATGGCAATTACTTTTTCTGCTTGTGTTTCACGGTCAAGCTTTTTGGAGGTAAATATCTGCCCTCTCTCATTTGTATAAAATCTGTCTTTGGCAAAGTCATTCACAATGTGGTAAGTGATGTGGCCGTAAGTCCCAGAATCTTCATCTGTTGCTTTAACTTCAGTCACCAAAGTATGCAAGGGAGCATTTTCAGCTAGTTCAACCTCATAGTCATTCTGGCTGAAAACAGGACTGTGCATATTGGCACTGGTTACAGTTATATGGACTTGGGCTGAGCTTCTGAAGACCCCATCAGAAACAGACACATTAAGATTATAATGTGGCTTCAGTGCCTGTCTGCGCAGGTTTGAGATGGTGATAATGCCAGTTTTACTATTAATGACAAAATTCTTTTGTTCATTGCCTGTCAGAATGGAGTACTCCAGCTTGTCAACATCTGAGCTATCTGCATCTGAGGCTTGCACACATGTCACAAAATGCCCTCGGGGAGCCAGTTCACTGATTTTAGCTTCATAAAGCAGTTGGTTAAAAAGAGGCGGGTTATCATTGAGGTCAGTTACATCAACAGTTACAACGGTATCACTACTCAAGGGCAGCATGCCACCATCTATGGCCCTTATTAGTAACCTGTGCTGTTTTATTTGTTCATAGTCCAAAGTTTTTGCTGTAAGAATGAGTCCAGTGCTGCTATCTATGTGGAAGTAGTCATGACTTCCACTATTATCCTCAACCAGGTGATAGGAAATCCCCCTGTTTGTTCCAGAATCAGCATCTGTAGCGCTGACTTGTACAACAGATGTTCCGATGACAGATGCCTCAGAAAGGGTTGCAGTGTAAGATGGCTCTGTGAACACAGGAGGATTATCATTGATGTCTTCCACTATTATGTCTACAAACACATCAGCATGTGCCCCAGTTAGGGAGTCTGTTGCTCGAATACTCAGTTTGTAGGCTGGATGAGACTCAAAGTCAAGAGGAGCAACAACATTTATAACTCCAGTGTTGAAGTTGATAGTGAACTGATTGAAAGGATCTCCATCTGTGATGCTGTAAAACACCTTAAGTCCTTCCGGGCTGTTTGCTTGTACATGTACCACAGGACTATGGAGCTGAATGTTTTCTGGTATCTCTGCACTGTAGAAAGGCTTTTCAAACACCGGCATAGCTTTACTCATAACTGTAATTGGGACTATAACTTCAGCAGAAAAAGCAGGGTTTCCTCCATCTTTTGCCACTACTGTGACCAGATACTCCTTATTTAGTGTGTCTGGTTCAAACTTCTTCTTCAGTGAGATTTCACCAGTGGGATCAATTTGGAAATGTTCATGATGTTCTTTGAGATAGTAATGCACCTCTCCATTTCTGCCTGTATCTTTATCTACTGCAGTGACACGTCGAATAACATGGCCTACTTCAGAGTCTACTTTAACAACAGCATAATATGGAAGATTGACAAAAAAAGGAGCATTATCATTTACATCTTCCACTGTGACTTTAACTACAATGTGTGCAACAACTGATGGTTTATATTCCTCTGTCACTTCTATGACCACATCAAAAGATTCTTGCTGTTCTCGATCAAATGGTATTCCTGTCGTTGAAAGGATTCCTGAAGTTGGGCTTATTTTAAATCTGCTGTCCGGATTTAGAATATGGTAAAACAAAGGCTCGTTTATTTGATTTCCTATAGCAGTAACAACAGCTATTGTTTTTGCCTCTGTGGAATTCTCCTGCACTGTTGCAGAGTAAGAACTCTGTGTGAACTTCAGCTGGCTTGCCTTGCTTTCCTTCACATTAATTTTTACAGATGCAGTGCTTGCAAATCTGCCATCAGATGCTCTCACCGTTAATTCATACCTGCTTCTTAACTGAGTTGTGTTTTGTACTGTTATATCTCCAGTCTTAGGGTTCATTGAAAATTTTTCTCCAATGTTGCCTTCAATAATGGAATAAATTAATTGTGAAAACACGCCTGAATCAGCATCAGTGGCATTTACGCTGATGACTTTCACACCTTTATAGGTTGGAACCAAAATGGATGTCTCGTACAACTCTCTTGAAAACACAGGAGGGCAATCATTGATGTCGATTACATAAATAGTAACATTAGCTGCATATTCTGCATATAAACGTGGTATCCCCATATCATGTACTTGCACTGAAAAGTGGAAAATATTTGTCTCCTCGTAGTCCAGACTCATTACTGTCCTAATGGCACCAGTGCTAGAATCGATGGCAAAATACTTGCGGACAGATGGTTCAACAATTTGATAAACAAGCAAAGCATTAGATTCTTTATCAGCATCTGTAGCTCGAATTACTAATGGGATATTCTTGTCAGTCAGAACCACGCTGTTAATTGAAGCTGATTCACTGATGAGTCCTGTGTATTCAGCATGCATAAAAACTGGTGCGTTGTCATTCTCATCCCGAAGATGTACTAAAACTGTTGCATTAGTGGACAAGCCAGCCATGTTTGTTCCTTGCACAGTCAGAGTGTAAAAGGGCAAAGTTTCAAAATCAAGTGTCTTCTGAGAAACAATAACACCTGAGTTTGGGTTGATAGCAAAGGCGTCGCCTATGTTACCATCTTTTATTTCGTAAACTACAGAAGATTGACTGTACGCTGTAACCATTCCAACAAAACTACCAACACTGGCACTTTCACTGATTTCTGTAGAATAATCTTTGGCTGAGAATTTAGGTGAGGCATTATCAGAAACCGTAACAAATATATGCACAGAGGTCACTTCGCTCATTGGAGGATCTCCTTTGTCTGTAGCTTTTACTATCAGGTTGTATTCTTCCTGGTTACTACGATCCAATTCCTTTGCAGTTTTAATTGTACCCAAAATAGGATCTATAAAGAAGGAATTTCCAATATTCCCTGTGAAGAAAAAGGAAAGTAATTAAGAAAGAGGTATACAGAACTTAAAGGATGATTGCTCATTTAGATATATACTAAAACAAATCACGTTGCAAGAACAGAGAGAATATTCAAGTTTCTTAGTTTTGTTTAACAAACATTCATTAGCCTCTCTGGAATATTTTCTGTAATCAAAAGTTAGCACTAATTCTGAGTTCACTTGTGGAAACACTGCATAAAGCATAGTTAGCAAAGCCACCCAAGCCTTGAAAATAAATGCAAAAAATTTGTTTCATTTTCCAGTAAAAAACCTTAAAGAGATCACAAGTATTTTGCAAGTATCAACATTATAAATTATGTATTTTCTTCAAATTATCTTTGTCATGGAGTTCATGTTTAAGCCAACTTAAATATCTACTGAAGCTGAAAGAAAATGATATTCAGAAGTTGACATTAGTGGAATACAACTTACATTTTATTATCTAAAATAACTAGACTGCTTTGAAAAAAAGAAGTATTTTAATGAATTCACAGTTGCAAATCTTAATTGCTTATGCCAAGTATTGTTTAAATGACTGCTTCAAAATTAATCTTTCTGAACTGGACCAAAAGTTTCCTCTCGCCTAACTTCACATTAGTACATACTAAAGTTATTCCCTGTAGTAATATTAGGAAAAAAGTACTACCTGCTGAGGACTGCCAGCTACCATTTGATAAATGCTTTCTTTATGTGTTCAAATATATAGCTGAACTTCACGGCACCCAATATTCAGCTCATGTACTAAATATGCTAAGATTTCACATTTTACTTCCTTAAAAAATGAGATTACTAAAGCTATGCTCTCAGCATGGAAAAAATTCATTAACAGCTTCTGAGTTATGCACACAAGTAGGCAAGAGGGTTTTTCTGGTGGGCTTTTTTTTTAGTGGAGGCTCCAAACACAGTGGCATTCTTAAAATATCCCATTACAAATCTAAGCAGCCATCACAAACATTCAAGGAATGTTCCTTCCATATGCTTAGAACATCAATTATAATGCTTTAACCTCCCAGTAGATCACAGTCCTCTAAAACAAACCTAAGTCTTACATTTACTCCTACAAAAAGCTTGAAGAAAGGAAGAGAACAGGGTGTAACTTCAGTCTAGAAAGCATGCACACACACGTTTTTTTCTTGCCATGTTCTGGCATTTGTAAAGCATTACTGAAATGGGAAAGAAAAGTGTTTCATAGACATTAGTGTCCTGCTTAGTAAAAAAAAGTCGTATTTCTACAAATAACAGAAAACAAACATCTTTTAAGCAACTTAGGAGTGACTTAAATTCATTCTTCCTCGTCAGGGTATGATAATCACAGCTTTATTTTAATACAGTGTTAAAGTATGTTTTTGTATCAAAATCACACTTTGGGGGAAGAAAAGGGAAATATTTACCATAACAGTCCCTATGTTTTACAAAGCAACTTACGTCAAATAAATACTACATTTGTGCATATCATCTTGCATGCAACAGTAACTAAACTTTTTACCTACTGTTCTCTTCCATATACTGTTTATTATGCTACTTAATTACTTTCTTATGCTACTAAATTACTTTCTATCTTGAAAGTAGTACTGCACACGAGTAATGAAATTTAAATAACTTCTTTTTTTTTCCCTCAGTCATGGTGCCTAAATAGTTCAGGACCTTGGCAATAGCAGGCTTTTATCTAGATTTAATGGACTGAACCAACACTCACTTCCATCTGGTAAGTGAACTCAGTCAATGTCATCCTGTTTTCCTATTATTCAAAACTGCCGTTATTTGAATGGCACTGTTACAGGTAAGTTCAGAAAGATAGTCTGACATTAAAAACAAACAGCAGCACCTAATGCTCCTCTCTGGCCTGCAATCTTGGAAGGAGTCTTAATGTCAAACTGACCAGCTATTACAGAATTTCTCGTATATTTTATTGAGCTAGCATAGCAGTCCCACTATTTAAAATTAGCCAGAGGGAACCATGCAAAGCAACCCCTTTCTTGCTATGTCTATCAGAAATTTTAACTTAAAAACTGGAACTAAGTAATGGTTAAGTATACGGATATTTATACGTTATTTCTGAGCTCCTTTCTTGCACATTGTGCTAAACATGAAAACACTTGTCTGAGGCTCTTGCTCCTTTCATCAAATACTTGCTTTGCCTATGCCACAAAATACTACCTACATTATCAAAAAAGAATTATTTATTTTAGGCCTGAACTTAATGGCTCCGTAATTTCTAAAGAATCCACACCTCTTAAGGTTTAAAAGGTAGTTTTTTCTTCTACTATTGCTAAAATGTTCCAAATGTATCTAAAGGGTAATATAAATAGCTAAGGGAGGGAGATGAATATTTGTCATTGTAGTTCTCTTCTAAATGCTCTGAGGCTGTATCTTAAATACATCTCTCAGAATACAACACACACCTGTACTGCCCTCTTTTTTTACAGCTATTTTTTTACATGTCTACAAAGTATCAGCAAGCATTGTTTCAAAACAAACTGAATAGGTAAAAACATCAATTTACCTGATTCAATAGAGTAGACAATTTCTGCATTTTTTCCTTTGTCCTTATCTAATGCTGTAACCTGGAGTACTGCTGATCCAACAGCTGCTGACTCATACACCCGTCCTTCATAGGAAGAGCTGGTGAACCACGGAGCATGATCATTTGTGTCACTAACATTAATGATGATTCTAGCATAGTTGCGCTTTACGGGAACATCTTGATCTCGAACCTGAAACAGCACATTATTAGTAATTGGCACTGTTATTTCAGTAGTTCATCAAATATTAGTAATAATTCAAGGTTCAATCTGTACCAGTCACAAAGACTGCATACAAATTAAACATACAAATAAATGTTTGAATTAAGGGGACAGATTAAAGACATTAAGACAGATCCATTTGTTACGGACTATGAAAGAAATTTTGTGTTTATTTACCATTACTGTGAGAATATGCTGGTTCATGGTCTCATGATCCAGTTTTTCTGAAGTACAAAGAGAGCCAGTTCCAGGGTCTAGACGAAATTTTTTAAGACTGCTGGGATCAGTGCTGCCCTGCATAGTATAAATCAGTTTATTCTTCTCATCTCTGTCTGTGGCACTGACTTGCAGAATTTCTGTCTCTGGTATGGTGTCTTCAGGTATAACAACTTCATATTTTGAAGAAGAAAACTGAGGCCTGTGATTATTTGTGTCTATAACTTTGATGTATACCTGAAATTACACAATGAGAAGGGGAAAGCATTGATGATATTTGAGAAACAGAGATGGAAAGATATTTCATTAAAAATCAGACCACAATACTGAAAGTCACAGCAAGACAACATTTTTCGGCGAGGGAAGAGATCTAAGAGGTGTAGAGAAGAATCTCACTAAACCCAAATCTGCCTCACCTTCCCCAAAGTCAAACAAGAAATCTAGACAATCAAAAATGCCTTAGGTAATGTATCTTAAAGGGAATTATTTTTGACTAAAGCAAGATGAAAAAGAATTCCTTAGTAACTTTGGAATAATAATAATAAAAAAATTAAAATTCTCAGTATGGAACCCAGAGCAGGTTTTTATTTATTTTATTTTATTTAAGGAATGTTTTCCAAGGCAGTGGATGCACTGTACCCCTCTCTGCCCTTCACAGGGAAACAATCCTTTTTCAGCTCCTCACATTTCCAGGCCTAAACTAGCCTGGAAAAGTGATGGAATTCCCACAAATATATGTTATTTTGAAGAACCACAGGTATTGATTGATTGTTCTTCTCCACCAATGTAGTACAATATCAGCAGAGTTAACTAGTTACTGACAAAATGTCTCTGAAGTTACAATTACATTAATTTCAATGCTTCAAATTGCATTTTCTCACAGAACTTCGGCTGGGTGATGCGTTATGCAGCCCATGCCCTCTGCCTGAATAACAACATTCACTGGAACCACACAAGATCCCTGCACACCCACTTGCCTTTCACAAATACTCACTTGCCTTTCCTAAAATATTTATTTCAAATGCAGGTGTATTATCCCAGGTTACAACTACTACCTAAACTCCAATACGATGAGTTCTTCCTGCTGGCAAATCTTAATACAGGCTGAACACATTCATATAACTTCTAAACAAGACATAGTCAGTGTGTAGATACAAATACTTCACAAATACGCTACAAATGCTAACAAGAGTTCAGGAGACTGTTAGAAGGATTGTATTCCAAGTAACCAAAGAAAGACTTTTGCATCTAAGTAATGATGTCCTACACCAACCCTGGAGGCACCATGGGGCATGGTGATTAATGAAAATGAAAATCTCCATGAAATGAGAATCCCCATCCCTGGAAGTGTTCA